ATGCCAATTGCGCTGCTATGGTAAAAAGTCTGGTTGCTCTGGACAGGTCATTTACATAATAGAATGTTCCCAGTGTCACTCTGAAGAAAATGAATCAACCCCCATGTCTCTAGCGATTCCCTGAGCTGAGTTAGAGATATGCCAATTGGGTTGCTATGATAACTATTATGGTTGCTATGGAAATGTCATTGACATTATCTAATGTTTCCTGTATCACTATGAGTGAAACAAAACAACCCCCATGTCTCTAGCATTTTCCTAAGCTGAGCTAGAGATGTGTCAATTTGGTTGCTATGGTAACCAGTATGGTTGCTATGGAGGCGTAAGTGACATTATATAATGTTCCCTGTGTGTCTACAAGTCATTTAGACCAACTCCCGTGTCTCTCTCATTTTCCTAATCTGGGATAGAGATGTGTCAATTTGGTTGCTATGGTAACCAGTATGGTTGCTATGGAGGGGTCAGTGACATTATTTAATGTTCCCTGTGTGACTTCAAGTCATTCAGACCAACTCCTGTGTCTCTCTCATTTTCCAAAGTTGAGATAGAGATGTGTCAATTTGGTTGCTATGGTAACCAGTATGGTTGCTATGGAGGGGTAAGTGACATTATATATTGTTGCCTGTGTGACTACAAGTCATTTAGACCAACTCCCGTGTCTCTCTCATTTTCTTAAGCTGAGATAGAGATGTGTCAATTTGGTTGCTATGGTAACCAGTATGGTTGCTATGGAGGGGTAAGTGACATTATATAATGTTCCCTGTGTGACTACAAGTCATTTAGACCAACTCCCGTGTCTCTCTCATTTTCCTAAGCTGAGATAGAGATGTGTCAATTGGGTTGCTATGGTAACCAGTATGGTTGCTATGGAGGGGTCATTGACATTACATAATGTTCCCTGTGTGACTACAAATCAATTAGACCAACTCCTGTGTCTCTAGCATTTTCCAAGGCTGAGATAGAGAATTACCAATTTGGTTGCTATGGTAAATAATCTGGTGGCTATGGATGAGTTAGTGACATCATGTTGTAATCTACATTCAACTTAGATCAATATAAAACAACTCCCATGTTTCTACGATGTTCCATTTAGAAGATATTTGACATTCAAAAATGATGTTGAAAAGTGGGTGTGGCTTGGTGAATTTATGTTAAATCATAAGCAATGATTGGCTGGATTAGTTATATGCATCCTTAATGTTGCTTTGACTCTCCATTGTGATTCAATTACAAAAGCTCTTTTACAACAGGCTCATTTGGGAATCAATTTCCCCATTGAAATGAATGGCAGCAATGCATCTCTATGGCCCATTGTGAGTCTAGGGGAAGGCTAAGCCAATCAAATTTCGTTATTCAAATTAGTTGATTAACAGCTGGCTCCAACTGCCACTTTTCGAATCGAGGAGACATTTCTCAGATGTTGACGATGCCTCAAACAAATAAACATTACAGAAGAACCGTAAGACATATCGAGATGATTCTTTCTTTGTGAGAAGCAGGAGGCATCAATGAAGATTATGATGTACATTTTTTAACGATATGTGGAAAATTCTAGGAGTTATGGCGAGTTAGAAAAAGCCTTAATTTAAAATTTTGGAGCATCATTTTCTGGGTGAAATGCATTGATCTTAATGGAGCAATTTGCTTCCCTCGTTAAGGTTTAGCCCTCCTAGTTTAAAAACCGTAGGTCCCATGAAAGAAACAACTGCATTTTCAAAAAGAGGACAAATTTCTCTACTACTTTAATATAAATTTTGTGCATAAAGGTTAAAGCTTAGTTTAGGGGAGAAGAATAAATGAAGAAGTTTGAGATGTGAAAAGTTAGAGTGGAAGCTAGAGTGGAGCAGAAATTGGTGAAAGTCGGAAATCTTCATTAAACTTAAACTGCGATTAATAAAAATCTATACAAGATATAAAAAAGTTGAAATATACATCTAATAGATGAAAGTGTGTAGATTTATTTAAAGTTTGAATGGTTTCTCTAGTGGAAAGTATGCTGAAGTTATAAAGGTCGAAAGAAGTGAAAGTTTAAAGGAAGGTTGAAGAATATCCCCATTCATTTCAATGGGAAGAATAATTTGAATAAAGTTAAATATTATAAAAAATATAAAAGTTTGAAAAGTGAAACGTAATAGCAACCTAGTCTGAAAAAAGCTAAACGTTTTGACGTTTGAATGGTGTTTCTAGGCCAAAGTATGCGGGAGTAGTTAGGGTTGGAAAAAGGGGGGGGAATAATAAAAAGAAGAAGCGGAATAATAACTAGAAAGTGCATTTCCTAGCGGAAAATGCGGGTGAATGCAGAGAGCTAAAAAAGGAATGCTCAAATTGCTGAATTCCTTGGCTGAAGAGTGAAACATTAGAAAGTTTCAAAAGCTGAAAGCTGAAGCTAAAACATTGTAAATTTGAAATATGTAAAGTTGAAAGTGGATGCTGAAGGGTGAAAAATTAGAAAGTAGAAAGTGTTAAAAATTAAAAGTAGGAGCTGAAAGGTAAAACATTAGAAAGTTAAAGTGTCAAAAGTTGAAAGTTCAAGCTAAAAGGTGAAACATTATAAAGTTGAAAATGTCAAAAGTTGAAAGCTAAAGCTGAAACATTGTAAAGTTGAAATATGTAAAGTTGAAAGTGGAAGCTGAATGTTAAAATATTAGAAAGTTGAAAGTGTCAAAAGTTGAAAGTGGAAGCTGAAAGGTGAAACATTGTAAAGTTGAAAATATCAAAAGTTGAAAGTGGAGGCTGAAAGGTGAAACATTTTAAAGTTGAAAACGTATAAAGTTGAAAGGTGAAACATTGTAAAGTTGAAAGTGTCAAAAATAGAAAGTGGAAGCTGAAGGTGAAACTTTTGAAAGTTTAAAGTGTCAAAAGTTTAAAGTGGAAGCTGAAAGTTATAATATAAGTAAGTTGAAACTCTGTCTAGCATTTTCCTAACCTAAGATAAAGATATGGCAATTGCGTTGCTGTGGTAAAAAGCCTGGTCGCTCAGGACAGGCCATTTACATAATAGATTGTTCCCAGTGTCACTATGAGTGAAACAAAACATCCCCCTTGTCTCTAGCATTTTCCAAAGCTGATATAGGGATATGCCAATTTGGTTGCTATGGTAACCAGTATGGTTGCTATGGATGGGTCAGTGACATTATATAATGTTCCCTGTGTGACTACAAGTCATTTAGACCCACTCCCGTGTCTCTCTCATTTTACTAAGCTGAGATAGAGATGTGTCATTTTGGTTGCTATGGTAACCAGTATGGTTGTTATGGAGGAGTCAGTGACATTATATAATGTTCCCTGTGTGACTACAAGTCATTTAGACCAACTCCAGTGTCTCTCTCATTTTCCTAAGCTGAGTTAGAGATGTCTCAATTCGGTTGCTATGGTAACCAGTATGGTTGCTATGGAGGGGTCAGTGACATTATATAATGTTCCCTGTGTGACTACAAGTCATTTAGACC